GTGCCTATTTTAATTTTTTGGCTATTTCACCCGGTTTCTACCGGGGACATTGCCCGGTCTCGGGTGTCCCCCCAAGGCCTGTGTAATAAGTGTCAAGATCCGAATTTATTTTGTATTTGCGTGCATTTCCTGTTTGGAAAGTGGCACTGTACTGATAGTGGTGATTTTATTTTTGGAATTCTTAGCGTGCACTTCCTGTCCTGAGAGTGGAGGTGTCCTGAGAGTGGAGGTCTGCACCGGAACTGTCCTGAGAGTGGAGGTCTGCAAGCAGACCCCACTCTCTCAGTCTGACAGGAGAGGGACTCTCCTCCACCTTGGTGTAGAAACAGCCCTTTATATCCGTTAGCATAGCTAGCTAACCAGATGCTAACAACATTCCACGTTACCGCTCGCGCACCCACAAAATGCGCTCGTGCCACACACACACAGAGCCGAGCTTGAATGAAACACAGAGACCTATGTACTTGTACAGTACAAGTTGTACTGTACTGTATATCATATTATTTTCGATGGCTTTACTGTATAATCAGTGTAACAGATGAACAGATCGCCACTGGGCTTTCATCTAAACACACAGCCACGTAATGATAACAAAACAAAGGTCGTCATTGGTCAAGCAACAAACCAATCAGAGAGCAGCAGTGAGCACACCTCAGGCTGTGTTTTATATTTGTATTATTTATTTCTGATGTATTTCACACAAAAAACCTTTAGTGGAAACGTTTTCACTTGACGCCGACCCTGCTACAGTATGAAACAATTTAGATAGTTTTAGATAGAATAAAACAAAAGGAAACTAGTTATTTAAAGTGTGGGCATTCACTCCATCTGCTCAGTTTTGAAAGGAAATCCAAAGTTTCTTTCACTTATTCACAAAAAGACAAGTAACAATGTGAAAAAGGAAATCAATGGATCATTTAAAATCTGAATTTTTTATAAAGACATTGTAGGAAAAAGAGAATGTGAAACGTGAAGAGAAACAAAGATATATATTTAAAAGCGGGGTAACAGAGAGAAACTGCGGCCTTCAGACTAAAGCGATGGAGAAAGGCAGTGTTGTCTTTTTTTATATGAAGTTAAGACCCCCATTTACACGCAAACGAAACGCAAACGAACCGAATACAATATCAAAAAAGTATTCCGTTCACACGAGACTGCTCGAAAGCGCTAGAGACGCTGTAGTACATATGCCGGGCCTGTAAGTGGCGCTGTACTTCCCCCACAAAATACACCAAAAGCAGCGAAGAAGACCCCCGAGCATGGTTGCCATGGTTGCCCTTCTGTTTATGCCCCGCGGTGGATTTAGCAACATGTAGTTAATGTAATTCTCCATGTCCACTTGTTGCTGATGGTTGTGGTAGAGGAGCTGTAGATTTTGCACTAACATCATTCTGTAGCATGGTCAGTAGCAGTAGCACTAGCAGTAGCTACTGACCATGCTACAGCAGTGAGCAGCAGAGGTGGGGCGAGGCGGGGCTATGGCTTCATCGTTATCAGGAAATGATTATATATATTTTTTTTTGCAAAAGTAATGTACTGCCGGATAATTTCATGCAGAATACATAAACAGACCTAACCCAGGATTCTGAACATCTATAGAGCTGCAGCATTTCTCATGACATATTCTGACGAGGCAAAAGGGCAAGCTTTCTCATTCTGTGACAGCCGGTCGCCTCAACGTGCACAATTGTGATCTCATAAATAAGAGCAGAAATGTTGATGTCATATTTTATAATAATAATACATTTTATTTCGATAGCGCTTTTCTTGAACCCAAAGACGCTTGTCTTTGGGTTCTTGTCTTGTCTTGTATGTGAGTTGATGCACCCAGAGCAGGCATCAGGGACTTTTTAGGCTAACATCTGAGTCCCCTGTTTTTCATTACCGAATTGGAGTGTGCACTGTGATGTGGGAGCATTCTGAAAATGGCTAAATAGGCATTGGTTGAAAGAAGAAAATAACAGCAATTTTTCAACTTCTTTTATTCTGTATCGACTCTAAACCATCCCTACTAGCATGAGAGATTTGTAGCAGAAAATAGAAGTGAGCCCTGCTGATCAATCACAGCACGGGGTCTAAAGTGAGATAATTGTTGGGAGGCGCATTCCTGATACATGAAGGACTTCTTAGTGTAAATTCGAGGTGTAATTTTCCTTAATAGGTCAACATGCTTTCTTCACATTCCTTTCAGTATGTGTCAATCAAAGTCAGTCGAGCATTGCAGTCTCTTAAACCTCAAACTTTTAAGAGTGTTTTTGTTGAATCTTGTAAGTGAAGTGAGGAAAAGTGGCTTATTTTACACTTACACTTGGTAAGTGTGATTTTTCTTTGTTCATCTGTGTCGCTCCACTTTTGAAAATGGAAAAGCCTATTTTTTTTAACTGTCCGCTATTTCAAACTTTACTCCAACTGTGAGGCCAACTCAGTGAATAACTTAAAGTTATCATGCTATATTTGAAATATATATTGTAGGGCCATACCTATATAAAACATGTCTGTGAACAGTTCACCCAATTGTAGCCATGCCTCATACTGCTCAAACCCCTCTTTTGAAGCCCTGTTAGAGAAACGCAGATTTTGGGTCCTTAGCTTGAAAAAAATAAATAAGAGGAGGCGGAGCTAATGCCTGATCAGAATTCTACCGGAGATGAAGTTAAATTCGGTTGTGATAAAACGCCATCCTGTTTAAACCACGTCAAGGATTATTTCTGAAACAATATGGAGCTCAAATTCTTTTTCTCTTGCGGGTTTATCACAAGGTGAGTTCTTTTTTTATTTCCTGCTTTTTAAACACATGTGCTCTTCAGTACAGGTTAGCTCTGAGTGTTAGCGAGGCTTGCTAATGTAAACAAAGACGTCCAAAACACTTCAGGCATTGTTTCTGATAGGAACTTTCTGTTGGTCCGCTGCGGATTTGACTTCAGTTCGGATAGAATCTGTATCCGCTCGTTGTACACTCGTTTTTAAAAGATTTGGGTACGGAGGAAAAGAGAGAAGGGGCCCATTCCAATAGTCCATTTAGCTTAGGAACCTTCCTAACCAAGTGAAATGACCCGGAAGTACGTCACTGGCAGCCATGATAAGTGCCGTTCCAATTCTCCAAATGAAAGGAAAGGAGGTTTCAAACTTCCTTTATAACCTCCTTTAGTTTAGGAACCACTGGACCTCCCTAACCGAAAGGAGAGGAGAAAATGCTGCCCCACAATGCATTGCAGCCGCAGCATTTGCCGTCACTCAACGGTCGGCCGTTCACGGACACAATCGATTATGACGGAGAAATTATATCATGAAAGTTACGGTGCTTATTACGCATTTTAAAACGTATGTGTTAAGTTGCCAAAGTGCTTTGTTTTGAACGTTCATCAGTATTATAATCAAAAAGAGAAATATGAACGTTAGTTTTTACTGAAATGATCAAATAAAGTCAACATTCACAGTCTTTACTGAGCTGTGTGGGGTTTGTTCAACTTTTAAAAGATGTTTGAATGGTGATATACACAGTGACAGATGTTAAGGACTAACGTTTATAATAAATACATCTGTATTGATTTTAAGATATTTTCATAGTTCATACAATCATACGTATTGGGATAATTTGTATTAATGTGGAGGGTGACGAGCAGAAGTTTCACTTTCCTTTTTTATTTCAATTCCAACTTTGGTCCTGAAGAATCTGTTTCTCTGTTGTCCACGTTCATAAAGCAAAGCAGCAGCATCAGAGCACGGTGCAGAGTCTCTAGATGAGTTTACAGTAGTCCCTCGTTCTTATTACACGTCGGATCGTGAAAGTGCATTCGGATTCTCTAAAGCACCGCAGTCTCTTCTCCTAAATCCTTTTGAATTATCCTATCCAGTATCCCTTAACCCCGTGACGTTTCACTCAGAGGTCAAGGAATAGGAGATAGGGTTAGAATTTAGGAGCTAATTTTTGGATTATCGGAACGCAACCAGGGTTTTATTTTCTGACGCTGCGTGAGTTCCCCGACGCACCGCGGACACATATGTATTAAAAGACATCACAAAGTGCATTTTGCATTATAGGTCCCCGGCAATATTTTCTGTCAACATGATTTAGGTATGGATAGGAGGATGGAAACATGTGTTATTAATGATATTATGCGTTGGGTTTGCCCTTTCCTGTAGCGTGTTATATAGGTATATTTGTGCATGTAAATGGTCTGTAAAGGCTACTTTGTTTACTTCCCTAACATAGTGACATCTCTACGTAATACTCAAACTACTATTGGCTAGTGCTCCAACACATTACATGTGATAGGCTAAGGGGCGGGACATCTCTGAGCGGTTCATTAATCACATTAGAGCTAACCAATCAGAGCAGACCGGGCTCTGGTTTCAGACAGAGGGTGAAAAAAGGTGCTGCAGCACAGGCAGTATGAGAACAATAAAGAGCTTTTTGAACATTAAAGCATGGAGACATGTCCCAGTAGAAGCACTAAATGTTATGATACCTGAAAATGAGCATATTACTTTATATAGGGGAACTTTAACAAAGAGGAAATTAAGCTCTATGGCTTGTGGCAGAACAACTACACACTGAAACGGAAATCTTTGATATAGCTGCGTGCTATATGAACTACACTGGTGTTTTATTTATGCCATGAATAAATAATTCACGTTTCCATCAAGGTGTCTACAAAACCTTGTCCTGACCTTCATGGAGATCTTTGAAGGTGTTAGGTGAGCGAATGGCAAACAGGAGCTGACTTTTCACTTTTAGAAGTGTAAAATTAAAACTGGTTAGCACAACGATAGAAGTGTGATGTCAACCCACACACGCATACAGACAACTGATTGAAGAAACACACATGCATAGAGTCCACAGAAACCACACCAACTGTGTGAGACAAATATATACACAGGAAGTGCCTCCCACTCCTCTGCCCCTGCCTCTCTCTCTCTCTCTCTCTCTCTCTCTCTCTCTCTCTCTCTCTCTCTCTCTCTCTCTCTCTCTCTCTCTCTCTCTCTGAGCGTTACTCATGGTGGTGTGTTGCTGAGCAGCAGCCAGTCGTGTTTTTCCCCTCGCCGAGCTCACTCTCTCTCATCCTCTGACTCTCCGCGCGCTCTCTGGCTCAAGTGGACAGTCCAGACCTCTCCTGTCTTTCTCCTCTTCTTCATTCCTTTGTCTGTTATTTCTTTGCATCTTTTCCCTTTATCTGTTTTATTGTTTTAACATTTCCTCCTCTTTCAAGCCCCCATGTGCCAGGGGCATTAGTGGGGGTCCCAGAGAGAGTGTGAGAGTGTGTATGAGTGTGAGTGTGAGGTTTCGGCATGGAAGCGGTGGCACTTTACACGTTTCGTGCCACAGAGGGTGATGAACTCAGTTTTAACAAGGGAGACTTGCTAAAGGTAAGAGAAATACTTTCTTCCACTTTTATTCTAAACCATTTATCATCCATTCTATCTATCTATCTATCTATCTATCTATCTATCTATCTATCTATCTATCTATCTATCTATCTATCTATCTATCTATCTATCTATCTATCTATCTATCTATCTATCGATCTATCTATCTATCTATCCCTCTATCTATCCATCTATCTATCTATCCATCTATCTATCTATCTATCTATCTATCTATCTATCTATTTATCTATCTATCTATAAACATAGAGCACACATTAAATCAGCACAGTAGTGGACCAACAGATTAAACCCCCCTCTCTCTTTTCTCTTTGCTTCTGCTGTGATAATTACAACTATTATAACTTTAGTGTCTATAGCTAATGACTCTGTATCAAGGTGCTTCTGTTGATGACTAAAGATGTATCAGTATAAAAAAAAACAGTCAACAGTCTGACTTGAAATAAGTGTTACAATGTTTTTTGGGAAATCCCCATTTTCTCTATTTTGCTGATTAGAAGATTTTAACCCGTTCTGATACCTGAGCGTTAACACTTCCAAGGTGTTGGGAGCGTTACGTCTTGTGACATAAATGCTAAAACAATATACTTGGTGAGGTCTAGGCAACTAAACTAGCAGTGAGGTTTAAATCATGGTTTAGGTCAAATAAGAATGTTTGTTAGAAAGCTTAAAATCACATGGATAAATAAAGAACAATACTCAAAAGACATGACATAACTATCTTACAGAAATAAGATGCATCATTTCAAAATAAGTCAATGGTGAGTTTTGGTTTCACACATGAAAGAGCAAGTGTTTTCCTGTGTCGTTTTGCATATGTCACCTGACTTCCTCCATTACTCATAACTTCAGCCCTGCACCAACTGATGATAAAGTATTTAGGTCACAATCGTTTATGAAGGGCCACCAATCAAGCCTTTGTATTTAAAGAGTTGTGAATGCCCTACACTTTAGGGCCTACAGTTTGATACCACTGTCATGTTTGTAGCTAAATGTGTAGCTAGCTGGCTTAGTTTAGCATAAGGAAATACTAACCCAAAGCTTACAAAACGTTTTTAAGCCTAATATAAACACATTGTATCTCATTTGTTTTATCAGTAATGTAATTGGAAAAAGACTTAGTGTGGTCAGTATTTGTGTTTTGGTTCTAGTGTTTCCAGTACTATGCTAAAGCTAAGCTAAGCCGCTGCTGGCTGTACTTAATCTTTAATCAACAGACATGACAATGGTGACAACTATTTAATACAACTTTGTGTATAAAAACAAAAGTAAGGGATTACATATTTTACATTTTGAAAATATTAATTTATAACTAGTTTTTGCTATTGGTTGCAAAGCAAACGTTTTCTACAGCTGATGTTCTATTGTGATGGATACCAGGCCAAATGCAGTGCTTGGATGGTTCCTGCACAGCTGGAAATTACTGTAGTAGAAAATTGTCCCTCTAAGACATCAGCAGTAAACCTCAGCAAGAGCTCCTCGACTTATAGCGTGGCACCAGCTGTTCCACGGTCATACAGTAAACACACACATTAATGGAAGAAGACAGCGAGATTTCTCCACAGGATTTAACCTCCATAAACTGTGTGCAAAGAGTTTTAGTGGCAGCTCTGACTTTTACATAATTATGTTCTTGCTCTTATTATGATATTGTTATGGAAAGTATGCTTTACTAGTTTGTGAAAGGCAAGGCAAACATTGGAAATTATTCAAGGAAGAAACAGATGAGGCAAGTGGAAGAAAAGACCTCAACAACAAAATAACCCATGACATGTATTTGAATGTGTCAGGATAACAATGCCTAAAGGTGCTATTTACATATTTTGTTTGCAGTATGGTGGTTTATTATTCATCCCAGACACACTTCCCTTTATAGAAAACACATTGATTTGGAGCTGATTTTGGATGCAGCCATAACGAGGTGGCATTCTGCATCTTTATCACTGCTTTTAAATAAATAAATGTGATTCTTTATTCCCAGCAGTATTAGATAGTCCTGTCCATTCTGTAAAGGATGATGGTGTTATTGTTTGGCTTTGGTCAGCCAACTGTGACGCAATACTATCCTTATCTTAATGGCTAGGTCAACATCCTGGCCACAGTAACATATTTGCTTTGACTAAAAGGGGACCTACATTTGTTCAGCTTAAGCGCCTTAATTTGTCTTCTTCTGCTAGGATAAACTGCTGTCTTTTCTCAGCCAAACAGTTGTGGTTCAGACTACGGTCAAACAGTACTTTTAAATAATTTCTTCACATTTGTCCATTCCCTCTTGCATCACCAGATGGCCTGCGCTTTACAAACTTACAACGACTCGTACAGTGTTGTGCAAAATGTGTTGCAGTTGCCACCTAGAAATGGATTAATAAGGCTGATTTGAGTGACTTGTAAATAAATGATAAAAATAGCTCCATATTCAAATAAAAAAAGTTGCAGCTTTGAACATTTTTAAAGCTGGAAGAAGATGTGGCCAAGTCCCACACAAGCGAGCCAAAAGTGGAGTGTGAAAAGAGAAACTGTTACATACTTTACTTTGTGGTTTGAATTGGGCTGTTTGCCAGACTCTTCTTTCACTGGCAAAATCAAAAAGCTAGTTTGTAATTTAACAACAAAATAAATAGCCTCATTTGGAATTATTTTAAAAATATTTACAGTCTAGCGTTCATTATTTAACACTTAAATACATATCTTTTTGACAGCAATTAAGCTTCTTTGTTGATTTCACTAAACCAGTGCTTCTCAAAGTGTGGTCCGCGGACCACTGGTGGTCCATGAGCGCCCCCTAGTGGTCCGTGAGTATATTGGTAACATTTCACATTTTAAATAAATAAGTTAATTTAAGTTTTCCGCACTCTCGCGGGAATATCTCTGCAATGTAGCGAGGTTAAGTTTCACTTTCGATTGCATGATATAGCCCAGAGCAACACCTTCGTCACACATATTGCCACTTGTTTGTACAATTTTCAGGCGATTTGTCATCTGTTCTAGAAAAACGATGTGTTTTGGGGTATTTGTGGAGTTAGGTGGTCCGCGAGTGTTTTTTTATTGGTTAAGTGTCCTTGGTATGAAAACGTTTGAGAAACACTGGTCTAAACGTATGTCTGCGTATAAATGCAGAAATACAATTAGTTTGTAGACATCTTTTTTTATCTTTCACTGCATTCTCGACTGTAGTTGCCCCGAACATCTGCTGGCTTAACTGGAACTCCAAAATATTAGACGCTGTATGAAGAGGCTGTATTGAATTACTATCAGCTGAATAACTGGGGTTGGTCAATGATAAAAATCCCATCCCATAAACGCAAATGGAGAGAAAAGAAAGAAACAAATAATTGATTAAACTGAGGATTAGACTAACTCAGGCCGGGTCCTTTCTCAAGAAGGAAATAATCACTGCAAGGTTAGCTTTGGATTTAAATAAGGAAGACGATAAGCTGATTTCATTGCAAATTGAAGAGCTCTTGAAGTATCTCTAATTTTCTCCCATCAATGGAAAAAGCAAGAAGGACAAAGAGGAATTGTCACGAGAGTCGAGAAAAGGAGACGAGTCAAAGTAATGAATTACCTGAAGCCAACATTTGCCATGTGAATATGCTAGAAATGAGCAGCTGAATACAAGGGCAATCCTTCAGTTCTGTGATTGAACAATGATTGATGCAATGAGCAGTAAATCAGTCAAAAGCCGGCATCACATTTGAAATGCTCGCACAGTTGCACAGTGCAACCATTAAAGTAGGTGGTGCATGAAATGAAGTTCCTAAAGGCAGAGAGGGCACAGGACAACTTTTTGGCAGGAAGGCAACATTGCCAAAGGAGTTTTTGTATCTTCTCAGTGCCATTAAAGGCAGGATACATGTCAGCTGTTAACAGTATGCCACGCTGTGCGCACTATCAGTTTAAATGCTGATAGATTTGGTTATTTGAGTTTGACTGATAAAACATAGCAGAACTGTGGTATAAAAAACCTTATCTCTGTATCGGTAAAAACAGGTAAACACTAAAGCAGGTAAACCAGAGCGTTTCAGATTACAGTGTATTATAATTGAAGGCCATCCCAGTGTTTCCTACTCCATTTACCCCTGAAGCGTCTCCTTTGCACGTGCTTGGCTGCCTCTTGTGGGCTTCCTTACTTACTATGAAAGATCATTAAGTGACGTAGGATAAAGATGGGTAAAGTTCGCTTAGGGAAAAGGTTGGGTTGGAAACACAGAAAGAGACCTCTGTTCATGTTCTGCGTGTGTCATTCATAAAAGTTATCTAACTGATTGCTTAACTTTTACCATGTTCGTCACATACTTAACTAACACAACATACTTCATTTGTGTGTGCAATTTAACTGATAAACCATGACCTTTTTCGAAAACAAGCATTTACGTGACATTCAGTACTTATCTTACGTCACGTACGTAGCATTATGTTAACCATGTGTTGAGGTCTATCGGACTACTCTACGCGTTGAACAAAATATATATGCTATTACTCTATTCGGTACCTCATGCGTTTAAAAGTGATCTGATCAAACGCCCCTGTGTGGACGGGCCGTAACCCACTACAGCTTCAAAAAAAGCTTGGAGCTGGGCGTGTCTGAAGCTCGACCAACAACCAATCACATGAATCTCCCGCCCCTGACACACAAGCAGCGGTTTGATTGGCTAGAGCTTGTACTGGCATATGATTTGATTGGCTGACGCTTCCACCGAAAGCTTCAGAAGCTTCAAAAGTTGAACATTGCTCAACTTTTGCAGCCTGAAACGCCAGGAAAGCTCCGCTCTGCTTCCCACAATGCAGTTCGGCGAAAAGTGACGTCACCCCATTCAAAGTGAATGGGCAGACGCGTTGGAAACCGTTTTTGAAGCTGTCGAAGCTGTAGTGTGGACGGGCCGTAGTGACAAGTTGGGAGTGAAAATAAGAAGGTAAAACTGTAGACACTTCTACATAGGTTGCTGCAGACATGTGTGCTGTTTCTCCCGTGCAGTCATGAAGAGCTTTATGTGACATTTTGAACTTGCCAATAATCTTGTGCTCTTCGGAATTGGTGTGAGTTGACAGACAGCGAAAAGGATGGAAGCAGCTGTACCGGAAATAAAAGGAGAGGCCTGGCGAAGAGATTGATATACTGTCTGTACACAGAGGGGGGAAGCAATGTTAGCGACCCTTCACCCGACAGTAATAGAATGGATCAACATCGTTATGGGCAATATTTCATATGTGTGTGTTTGCTTCTAGATCACCAACATGGAGGATGATCCTAACTGGTACACAGCTGAGCTCCACAATAGGAAAGGCTTTGTGCCAAAAAACTACATCAACCTGCGGCCACACGCGTAAGTACACACATGCCTGCACTCACGTCTTCAAGCAGATGACTATATTTTGAACGTCTAACACTGGTCTATCTAAACAACTCATCAGTGAGTGTTTGCCGCTCTGAGCGTTTTTCTGCTCTGCTTTGGACATCTGCACTCCGGCATAAGGCAGCCTACCTCGGTGCCTTACGTAATCACACATGATACAGCCGTGTGTGTTTTCAGTAAGGCTGCTGGTACACACTGTATCTCCATCAGATGGTCATACACCAGCTGGGTTCAACTTTGTGCTGGGACAAACACTAAACTGGCAACGCAGCCATTGCAGCGGCTTGTTAATGAACACATTCCAGTTGGAGCTGCTTAGTTAACTTTGTGCATAGCGTGAGGAGATGTGCCGTCTAAGAGTGCTTGTCCTCCTCCGCATTTCCTCACTGAGCCAGAATTCTGACCCCATGACCTCCACCAAGAGAGCACCGTAGTGCATCCTCCATATTCAATGTGCTTTCCCCTCATTTAAGCCATCAATCTGCCTGCAGAGCACAGGCCCGTGAAAGCAGAACGTCATTTACAGTGCATCCAAACAAACTGCTCTACTAAGCAGGACTAATGAGTGAGAAGAAAAATGAAAAATGGCACCATCACTTCCGCTACACGGCTGACAACTGAAATCCAGCATTTTAGGATTTTCTTCCTGTGTGGCAGTGTGTTTAAAAATAACTTCACAAATGTGCTAATTTGACCTTTTTCCCTCTAAAGCTGTCTTTTTGCCTTTGTCAGCATTCATCTCTATTGCTGTGAGCTATTTTTAAGTCTCAGCATTTCCATTGAAAATACAAACATCAAAAGTTTAGATACCAAATCAAATCGTTTATTAATGTGAGAAAACATTGTATTGTAGCTGCACTGCCCCCAGAACAACGCAGTTCACATGCATTAAACAGAAACATCAATGACTTCTTTCTTCCTTTCCATCTCTGCTTCCTGCTTTCTTTCTCGCTTCCAGCTGGTTTGCCGGTCGTATATCTCGCGGTGTGGCAGAAAGTCGACTGAAACACAGGGAGTGCGGGGCTTTTCTGGTCTGAGAGAGTGAGAGCGCCCCTGGAGAGTTCTCCATGTCCGTCAGGTAGGAAATAAAGGATTTGGACATTTTAACATTTTGAGAGCTCATCATAGATGGCCCTCTATTCACCACGTTGGCCTGTGTGTTCTCTCCATGCATCCCTTTCATCCATGAGAAAAAGCTGTCAACATGAAGATGTGTCTCCGGGAAAGACTCCCAAATTGCTCCCAATGGCATGTCCAATAGCATGGCGCCGGTGATGATGGCTGCCGTGTATTTGGCTCCTCTCCAACTCTGCCTTTTTCTCGTTTTATTTCAGTGTTTGTTTACATTTCGTTGTGTGCTTTTAACTTTGTCCGCAACATGCAAGATTGTATCTGTTTTTGTTCTATGTCCTATATATATATATTCATGTTGCACTGTTGGAGGAGCCTGTGATCTATGTTTTTCATTGCCATATCCACACTGAAGCTAATGTCCACATGACAATAAAGCCTTCAATCTTGTGTGTATGTTATTCTCCCTGAGAAGACAAACAGTCACACACATTCAAACCTTGTATGGCAGCCTATAGGCGCATTCACACCGCAGTACTTTTCCCACAAAGGTTCATGAGAACTTAGTTCATGAGAACTCTTTAGTTCTCATGAACTAAGTACAGATCGCGTTCACACCGGAATAAGTCCCTGGGGGTGGATTAGGCAAATGAAGCCGCTGACGTCACTTCTTCTGCTTTGGGTTTACTGGCAGGCCGCAAACCACTTCACGGCGTATACTGCCACCCGAAGTCCCCGGCCGGAAGTCCCCGGAGTTGGAGACGATTTATTCGGAAGGCTTCAGTAGAAGCTGCTGGGACTCCCAGCAGCTACTACTGAAGCCTTCCGAGTAAATCGCCAGAACGCCGACACCTCCTCATCTCCACCGCTCCCATGTTTTATTTTGTGTTGCCATAAGTTAGTCTCTCTGCGTTTCTGCGCTAAGCTAATGCTAATGCTAATAATGCTAATGCAAGGATAATAAAATGGCGGCTTCACAAAACTTTTTGGGAGTTTTACGGGGCGTGGTTTGCAATCCGCCCAGCCAATCAGACACAGGAACCTTTTTCTCCCACGAAAGTCCCTGCTCTCTAGTACCTCATTCACACCAACGGTGTTTCGGGGCCGGTTCGGAGCTGGAGCTTGAAAAGCACCGGGTTTTCCTCTTCACACCGCAGCGGAGCAGACTCTTAGCTCTGGAATTCGGTTCGTTTCAAGCACCAAAAAATTGTCCGGCTAGAGCAAAAGCACCACATACGTCACGCTTACGTCGAGGCGGGGGAAGGGGCGGGATCAACTCCTGAACAACAACAAGAAGCCCGCGTTTGATCCAGTTTGATAGCAGGGACGGAAAAGGGGGTGAAAAGGTTCTCATTAACTAATTTGAGTTCCGGCTCTTTTTGGTGTGAACGTAACATTTCAGAACTATATCGGAACTAAAGTGGGAAAAGTACTGCGGTGTGAACGCGGCTTATGTCTCTGTGTGACTGGTGTGAATGGTTGATTTGAATGTAAAAAGGCTTTGAGGGGATGAAAAGCTGAGAAAAGTACAATACAAATGCAGTACATTTACCATTTGACATAATGTGTCTGCTCATGTATCATTGCTGTCGCTTGTTTGATCAATATTAAAGTTTGCGAGTGTGCATAGACTTGTGTTGGTGCCAGGGGATCAGAGGAACGGGCAGAGGAGGATAAGATGTGGGGAGGAGGAGGATCTGCAACAACCCCTCTGGCCTGATGTGTGCTAATCCTGTCTGGCACGCCGCGGCATCTGGAGCTGCTGATGGGGCCGATCGGCTGTCTTATCCGGGTGATAGCAGACAGGGGTGCAGCTGAGGTTTGGTGTTGTGCTCCTGGGGGATATGAGGATAATGGAAGTGGAGAGTCTGGGTGTTTGGGAACCAGAGGGTTGGCTTTTCTCTGTGCTGCCAGGGCTGTCAGACAAACTGGCTGAGATCAGGGGTCGAGAGGTGGATTTGTGGGTTGTTTTGGGCATGATATCTCTCTCCAACTGGATTTAGGACAGGCCTTTGGAAGCATTAGGGCAGGAAAGGAAAGCAGGTTGCAGCATTAAGGGAATCAAAATGGAAAATAACAGAGAAGAACAAACATAAACAGGTTTGCCAAGAGAGGATTTTGAAGCTACTTGTTTGTTGATGCTTACTGGCTGTTGTTGCTGGATGTTGTAGAAGCTTGAAAATGGGGTCAGGTGTTTAGTGTGTGTGTGTGGTCCTTGTGTGCTGACAGCTCTCCTGTCGGAGGAGACATCCTGACAGCAGTAACTGCGAAAACTTCAGCCCGACTCAGCTTGGCAAGGCTTTGACGTCAGTCCTTGAAAATCCACTTCCAAAGCCATGAATGGAGCCAAGAGTGCTGGTGAAGTTAGAAATCAGGCAGAGGAGGTTATGTTTTTGGTTAGTTTGTTGGTTTGTCTTTTCTGTCCCAAGGAATACAGAAAAACTACGTGCCGAATTTGTATAATACTACAAAGGAAGAACCATTAACTGTTGGTGTGAATCACGGGGCGGATACACGCATTATTTCGCCCTTAAGAAAATGGCCTTGCATTAAGTCTGCACTATCCGAGTAATCATTCAATTTCCGAAATAATTTGGTTGTCGTAAATCGGTTTTATTGTCACTTTAAAGTCAAGGAGGACGCCGTTATTCATTTTCATAGACATTAATGCATCCTTAAATCACCTTAGTAGTCCTTGTGGAAGTATTTCATGGTGTTGAAGGTGCACCGATGTTAGGATTGGTGTTATTTAAGGATCATCGTGGTGATAAATAATTATATTATTCAAGATTATTTGTCAAAAACATTCACCCATGGTGACCTTGCTATTTTTTAAGTTGCTCCTTTGAACTATCCGAAAGCTCTTCAAGGGTTAATGAACACAACACATTCAGCTAAGTCTGTCTTCATTTAACTTGGGTATTTTCTATTTCTTGGAATACATATAGTGTACAAGAATATACTTGAATTTATCTATAAAATATCCAACAATGAAGAACGCACACACAGGTTTTTAAATAACAAGGACTAAACCTCAGAGTGATTACGACTTCAAATGATTCACAGAAAGATGTATCGCCGCGGACCGACTAAAGGGATAATATGTTTAAGCAGTTAGTTACCAGAAAACTTTCTGAAAGGTGGTTATGAAAGAATATGTGGTTGGGGAATAGCTTCAGACTGTGCCAGAGGAACTGTCCCAATGGGTTATTTAGTAGCTTATTTATGGAAAGTGGAGCAAAGTGAACATAGACGTTTATAAAGAGAGATGAAGGATCCATTTAGCTTAGCTAGGCTCTACCACAATGCTGTCATATAGATCCAGTTGGGGAAAAACATTCCCACCTGGATCTGAGGTAGGATCTGAGGTAGGATCTGAGGTAGGATCTGAGGTATCAAAAAAGTCCAAAAGCAGCTTGTGCTAATCTTGTGTTTTGTTGCTGCAGTATTTCGCAACACTGACAAGGGACATGCTTTTACTTTTTCTCAAATGGAAAATCTGACTTCCTTGTTCACACTACCACAATCACTATCAATATCCGACCACCCACACTTTAAACTCACAGCCGAGCGAAGCAAATGTAAAAACTGTGCTCTGTCTCCGTGAGTCATCAAAAGACATTCTAAGAAATCAGTAACCGTGGAAAAAGCAGATGGCGCACACAGGTTCACTCGAGAATAATCACAACCCAATATCTGAAGCTGAAAAGCACTTTTAATTATTTTAGTTCAGGTTTTTTGGGGGGTTTTAACTACCTTTTTTGCCCCTGAATTGCTACCAAATGTCTTTAACTTGTATTGTCTTTCAGTCAAACTGTAAAAGCAGTTGCTGATTATTTTTGGTTGCAGGATGTCTCGTCGTGTGATAAAGCTCAAGGTTGTCTCGCCACAGCTCAGTTCTCTTCGACAGTTTGCTATCTGAACAGTATGGTGTTCTGCCCACGCATGCAGACACATATACACAGCACTTCATTGTGATCTGGTCTGTCTGAACCTAATGTATGTCAACAAGTTAGATGTATTTGAAACATTGTGTGGTTTCTTGGCCTTATGTCCACTTTTATACAACGTTTTCAGCCACGGTAAAAAATCCTCCTGGCCCACTAAAAGCATTATTAAATGTGGCATACTCTCAAATGCCCACTAAAACCAGACTGAGCTGTTTCTCTTGTATTTGTTTAAATTCAGCATTGATGCCACACTTTTTGGCATGGCCCTCAGATATCACTGACTTATGCTGCCAATGCCTGATGGCTCACAATAAAGAGCTGACTTGACATCAGTCATCATTAGTCTCTTGTCAGGGTCACTTCTTCAAATGGGAACCATAAAGGGAACTGACCCTTTAGGCCAGGGGCGTCAAACTCAATTTCATCGCGGGCACATTTGCATAAAGGTGGCACTCAAAGGGCCGGTTGTAACTATATAATATATATATAAAATAATGTATTATATTACATTATTGCCTCTGAATTGGATTAGTATCGGATAGGATAATAACTTAGTCATTAACTACGTCTGAAAGCAGAAGTCCAGGGCAAATAATTGCAAGTCTCTTCAGTGTGCATGTCACAAAACGAGATGCATTGTGGGACATGTAGTTTATGGGCAACCTGCTTCTGTAAAGTGGCATGTAACCGTATAATAAACGTATTATATTCTTTGCAAGCTCTTGTGGGGCCACATAAAATGAAGTCGCGGGCCGGAATTGGCCCCCAGGCCTTGAGTTTGAGACCCCTGCTTTAGGCTATGCTTAGTTTACAGCTACATAGCTTCTTCAAGCTTTAAGTAACACATTAATGGTACTTTAGAAAGAGGGGTGCTTTAAAACAGTTGAATGAGTCTAAATGAATACATCTGGACAAAATGTTGAAAACAATGGCGGATAAGTGAGTCACTTAAGTTGTGCAACACTATTTGTGAATACAAATATGGTGCTGGCAGTAATTAGCTTCATATCCTTTAAGTTAATTTGTCGCTTTATGCACCTTCAGGTCAATGAAAGAA